TAAAATACTCCCATCTTGTGGCAGTTCAGAAATATGACAACTTTAACATGACCGTCTTGCTCTGTCTTTGTTTATTTGTCCCTCTGCTGCAGACAGATTCTAGCAAAAGCAAAGCAGTTGGATGTAGAAAGTTCTTAATAATCCAGGAAGAAATGAGAGATTCTTTCTGAGGCACTTAGATTTCTTATTGTGAAGTTATATCCGCACAATGCAGTACTCAAGCTGTAGGCCATCTTTAATTGTTCCTAGTGGTTCTTATGGATGCACTAAGAACCACTCTAGCTTCATCACAGAACCCAAAGCACATGCTCACTTCCCATACCCCACCCACTCCACCAGTGAGAACATGAGACCAATAATTTAGTTGGTTAACTAAAACTCTTCAGAGATTTTGCCATAATTTAATTGATTATATTTTTACTTTCACTTGACAGATATTTTTTTAGTGCCTGCCATGTGCTAGTCCAGGGGTATTGGAACAAGTCAGAATGGATCTAAGATCATATAGAATGTGCATTCTAATGAAGAAGACAGGCATTGAGTGAATTACAAGAGTGATGCTTGTTACCCACTGGGAAGTAAGGGGTGCTGTGGGAACACACAAAAGAGGAAACATGTTATTTTATAGTGAGTACAATGGTTAAAAGCACAGGCTCTGCAGTCAGGTAGATCTGGAGTAGGATCCTAAAGTCAGCCACTTGGGATTATGACCTCTGGCAAAGTACTTACTCTTCCTCTGCCTCTGTTTCTCCATCTGTAAAATGGGGATAATAAGACCTACTCATAGAGTGGTTATGAGCATGAAATAAGATAACATATGAAAAGCAATTAGCACAGTACTGGGCTGAATTTGTCTGAAGTCACTGCTCCCAAAGCTGAGGGTTATGTTCTAAGAGCCAATGAGGATACTTGGGAAGTAGAAATTCCTACATTATCATCTCCTCCTCAAACACTGGGCAAAGGAAAACCCTTCAGTGCCCTAGAAGAATCTCTGTATTCTTCAATCCCTTTTCTGGACATAAAAATGAGATATGAGGTTGAAACACACTAGAAACCCCAGGAGCCTATGACCATGTGTGGTCATACCCCCTGAGCTTCTCTCTAAGGAAGGCCACTGAGTTTGGAGATGGCCTGTGAACCATAAGCCTCCCAGCATGAGTTAAAAACTGGGTTGAACACAGTATTGCTATACACCTGTTTTTTTCCCTTAAATATATAACCCACTAAGCTGTAAAGAGGTTTAGGGTGTTCTGTAAATTTAATAAGGAAAACTGGAACAGCAAATAGTTCAGGAACTAAACCTAAGCATTCCTCTTTAAAAGTGTGAAGCCACCCAGCTGGTGTGGCTTAGTGGTTGAGCGTCGACCCATGCACCAAAAGGTCACTGGTTCAGTTCCTGGTCAGGTCACATGCCCAGGTTGTGGGCCCAGTCTCCGGTGTGGGGCATGCGGGAGGTGGCCAATTGATGTTCTCTCTCATTGATGCTTCTGTCTCTCCCTCTCCCTTCCTCTCTCTCTAAAAAAATAAAGCGTGAAGCCAATCCTTGCTGTCATGGGAAATGATTATAGGTGTTGAAAAGAACAATAGTTCTTTTAAACAGCCAGTAAATTCCAATTGAACTGGAATAAATTAATATATTGGGCATACAACAAAGGTTTCTTATGGATAATTTAACAGAAAGACTCATACAAACCTCTTTAGAAAAGGTACCCTCTAAAGCAGCAGATCTCAACCCAGCACAATTTTTTATTGTCACAACTGAGAGAGAAGTGGGGACTCCTGTCATCTGGTGGGTAGAAGCCAAGGATATTGGGAAACATTTTATAATGCACATGACAGCCTCATACAACAAAGAACTACCCAATCCAAAATGTAAATAGTGCAGCAATTAAGAAACCTTGTGCTAAACACACACACACACATACACATGCATGCATGTGCGTAGCAACAACAAAACAAAAAATTCCAGGCTTTGTTAGAATATGAAAAAGAATAAAGATTGGCTTTCTACTCCTATTGATACATTATTTTCACTAAATATTAAAGCTGGTTTACAGAAAAACAAAGTATCACCCCTCAGCACTATCACAGCCCATTGACCTATTCCAATAGTTGGTCATGAGTTCCTATAGTTTTCTACTGAGCTGTGATCATAATGTATCTATTTCATTTTTTAAATAATTGTTTCGAGCCCAGCCAGAGTGGCTCAGTTGGTCATTCTGTGCACTGAAAGGTTACCGGTTCGATTCCCAGTCAGGGCACATATCTAGATTGTGGATTCGATCTCCAGTCAGGCAGCCAATCAATGGATCAATGTTTCTCTCTCACATCGATGTCTCTCTCTCTCTCTCCCCCCCCTCCCTTCCTCTTTCTAAGAATGTCCTCGGGTGAGGAGATATATATGTATAGTTTTTATATATATCCCCCATGTATCTACATGGTCTTTATTGCCAAATCGACTGTCACAGTACTTTTAAAGATTTAAAATATTTTATTCAGATATGTTCAATTTATCCCTTAATCTGTTTTTGTTTTCACCTAATGTACAGTGTTATGAGTTCCTCATTTGAGAACATTAAAAGTGGACTTGTCCTTGAAAAACAAAACAGAACTTTAGAATATTATAAAAACTCTTGGAACTCTGTTACCCAGAAATTATTACTTTCCTTCCAGCGGTCTTTTATCAAGTATTCAGAAAGCAACTATCTAGTCTTTAGTCTGTCCACCCAGTTTTTCTGTGGTTAGTCTCATCTTGGTCAAATTTTAAACAAAACAAAAAGGATATTCCTTCAAAGCCCTGCACTTGAAATATAAACTATTTCCTCCTCCATAAAATCCAGCTGTTCTGAGTCCCCTTTGTACCTGGCACCTTTAGGTCATTTAACCTCTGTGGTGACCACTGGATAATGATCAGGCTTACATGTCTATGTCCCTCATTAGACTTTGAGCACCTCAGAGGCTGGCAAACTTACAAATCTTTGTACCTCCCATTCCTAGTCCTGAGCTCAGCTCATGGTGGATGTTGATAAATATTTATAGAATATGTTAATGACAGGCTAAACACCTACATTGTGGTCAGCATTATAAGGTTGAGCATTTATTTGTCCCTGGTATTTTCCTGAGTTCACTTGTGTTCTCTCTAGGTGTTTCAAGTGTTCACTGTCTCCAGTCATAGGTAAGAGAATCCAAGGACAGAAAACACAGCTTATACTTCCTTTATAAATTTTATTGATTATGAATTGGAGAAAGTGCTAAATTAGCCTTCAGGAGGACAGGATTCTCATGTCCACAGAATAGAAAACTAGTAAACTAGTCTTTATTTATTTAGTTGTTCCCAACAGGCCATTAAGTTAGCCTGGTCTCACAGGTCCAAGGCCCAGGAGAAGTGAATTGGGAGACTCTTTAGAGAGTGTCCCCAAGTCATGGACTTCCTCATCTTTTTCTTTCTTCCATTTGTACTGAAGCATATTGTTTTAAATTATGTTAACTTCTTTGTTTAAAATATTAATTTCTAGTTTTTCCAAATACATAAATATATACATGCAAATACATGCAAAATATATGTTAATGAGAAGAAGATAGAGAGATAGAGATAGGTAAGTAGATAAAGAGAGAGAGAAATCCTCCAGTCTGTTGTTTAGTGAGTACACTGGAGATAAAAGAAGTAAACAAATAATGCTGATCCTTATCATCTGGTGAAAACTGAGTACATAAATCATTCAAAACTATTTTCAAAACTCTTCAAGAATATTACATATGGAAGCATGGGCGAATATACTAAGACTCTTGATAAGCAGCTTCAGTCAATTTCACAATTCCTCCAGGTGAAGTTGTATTTGCCAGATTGTTTCCAAAGAAAGTTCATGATTTAGAATCTGGTTCTTAATTATTCTCCTGCTAATCCTGGCAAACTGTTGTGTTACTCAATAAAGCAACTTTATTACTTTCTTTTTGCATTGCGTGGTTGGAAAATGCCATCTGAAGGTTGCATAATGAATGCATTATTAAAGTGAGTTGAACTCTCGATCACCATTTTGCTGCTCCACTTGAGAAAGTGAGCATACCAAGGACTCAATTAATAGTATTCACCTATCTCAGGAAACCCTCAGCCATCCTCCATCTTGACTGCACACTAGAATCACATAGGGAGATTAACAAACAGTGCTCTGCCTGGGTCCCACCCCCCGAGATCCTGTTGTCATTGGTTTGGGACGCAGCCTGAGCAAAGAAATTTTAAAGCTCCTCAGGTGATTCTAATGTGCAGGCCAGGTTAAGATTCACTGCACACAAATGCCCCCACTTTGCCCAACTTAATAACACTTATTTAAAATCATGAATTGCTTACTGTGTTTGTGAAGAAATTCCCGCATATATATACTCTGGCACTAACTGCTCTGGGTGGAAGGGTACATTGGCTTGTTTCCTAATACCCAGGGACCAACACAAAACTCTTAAGGTCAAGGAATATTTAACTATTCTGTTAATATTTACCCTGATCAAAAAGCCATTTTTAAAATTAGATTTTCAGTAAACTAAGTTCTCCCTGTACTAGAGCTTAATTTTTTCTATCTTTCTACTTAATTCCTTGCAAAATACCTCATTTTCTTCATCCTGAAAAGAATTTCTAATTATGTGGGTTATAGGTAAGATTAAAAATACCCAGTTTGGATCTTTCATGATAAATAATATTAGCCATGTCCAGTCACATAAAATTCATCTAATTTTATTCTCCTCCACATTTGGTGCTAACTAAATGAAAACCTGACGGCTAAAAGAGAGTGCTAGACCTTCTTTACATGAATCTTCATTTCTCTAGAATTAAGCATGTAGGTGTAAGCATTCTTGCCTAAATCAACTTGCAGACATGAACAGTGCTGCATCACTTGACAACAAACATAAATTGGTAAACAAACAGTTAAATCTGATTTCTTTTTTTAAAGAAAATGTGGTTCTACAGGAATCTAGAATTCCAAGCATTGCATTTCCAAACCAATACTTACATTTTCTAGGAGACAAACAGCAGCAGGATTCCCATAAAATGCTTTTGCTGTGAATGCATCTGCTATGAAAATAGGTAGCTTCATTTTCCTTGCAAGCTCTTTTAGCAAGCTCCCAAAATTGCTGGTAACCTGCTTTACTTCTTGTTGTTGCAAAAAGAAGAGAGAGAGAAAGAAAAGAAATCGGAAAGTTAATGTTTTACTTGGTATACAGGAGCAACCAACAGTTCCTAGATACAAAGTCAAGCAATCATTCTAACACACCTACATTTAAAGATATGTGATACCCTAATTTTTTTAAGCCTCTAAATTGAAATTGTTTTAAAATACTGAATGAATAGAGTATTTTCTTTTCAAATTTTGTATTAATGTTTCATACTGTATATATATACTTAACAACATCATCATATTCTTTCTTAGAGTAGCCAAAACTAGCAAAGGCTATGTTTTTGATGAAGTGAATGAAACATTAAGGGGGCACATATGTGCTTATAGTCACCCAATGAATATTACTACCCTTTAAAAATGATGTATTTTTTCTAATTATTAAAAAATTTGCTCATTATGTAAAAAGTTAGTAAATTAAAAAGTAACCCATAACCATGCAATAAAAATGTGTTTTATTTTGGGACTTAACATAGTCAAAGAAGCCTCATGCTTTAATTAATTTTGTGTTATTTTATTAAATCTGCAGCTGGAGACTTTTTTGAGCTCATGACATAGATTAGTTAAAGCTTTTCATTATAAGAATAATACTTTATTTTTACTACAAATCTATCAAATATAGAAAAGCAAAGGGGATAAAAATAATCTGTACTTCCACTCCCTAGAGATAAACTCTATTAACATTCTGGGTGTTTCCTTTGCTTTCCTAGACACATGGACTTTGTCATAGTAATGAAGGAATTCTTCCCTTCCAAAGTTATAGTACTTTTTGAAAATTCAGCAAATTAGAGGACTTTGATTACATCTAAAAGAAAATTTTAGATGTAAACTTTACATCTAACATGCATTTCTTGTTTTCAAGGAGCTTAAGATAAACAACCTGGAAAGCCCTGCTGTCTGCCCACAGCAGGCCCCAGCCCTTTGGCAGTTCCCAGGCCTACCGGTATTTCTTTCTCTTTCTCTCTCTCTTTCTCCTTCCCTCCCTTTCTTCCTTCTTTTTTTTTTAATTTTCCATAAGAGTTTGAGTCAAACTGATGACATATGCCAAGGAGCAAGATTTCAAATGCTCCCCTCCCTCTTTTTTTTTTCCTTTATAGAGAGAGGGAGGGAGGGGGAGAGAGAGAGAGAGAGAGAGAGAGAGAGAGAGAGAGAGAGAGAGAGAGAGAAACATCGATGAGAGCGAACATCAATTGGCTACCTCTTGCATGCTCCCTACTGGGGATTTGGCCCACAACCTGGGCATGTGTCCTGACCAGGAACCAAACCAGCGACCTCTTGGTTCATGGGTTGACACTCAACCACTGAGCCACACCAGCCAGGCTCCCCTTTTATTCTTAATACAAGTGTTTTACTTAATTTTCTTGCCAAATGCCTGCTTTTCTTTTTTTTCATTGAGTTATAATTGACATATAACATTATATTTGTTTCATTTATACAACATAATGATTTGATATTTGTATATATTACAAAATGACCACCACAGTAAGTGTAGTGAACATCCATCACCATACATCATTACAAAAATTTTTTTCTTGTGATGAGAACTTTTTTTAAATTTTTTTTTTCCTTTATTGATTTTAGAGAGAGAGGAAGAGGGCAAGAGAGAGAGAAACATCAATATGAGAGAGACACATTGAGTGGTTGCCACCCACACGACCCCAACTGGGTCCGGGGACAAACTGTAACCAAGGTACATGCCCTTAACAGGAATCGAACCCGGTTCTCTCTGGTCCACAGGGCAATGCTCTAACCGCTGAGCAAACAGGCCAGGACTTGTGATGAGAACTTTTAAGATCTACTGTCTTAGCAACTTTCAAATATGCTATACAGTATTATTAATTATAGTCACCATGCTGTACATTACATCCCCATGATTTATTTATTTTATAAGTAGAAGTTTGTACCTTTTGACCCCAAACAATAACATTATTAATATTTTAGACATAGTTTCTAATCAGAATTTTTACACTCTTAACAGTACAGCATGAGTATTTTCCAAGGGAAATATTTTAAAGACACTAAATGCTTCAGAAACATCATTTAAATAGACTTACAGTAGTTTGGATATGTTGTAAATTATTTAAACACTTCCCCTTTGGTAAATATTTAAGTTATTTCTTAAATTTTTTGTTAATGTTCATCCTCACCCAAGGATAGTTTTCCATTGATTTTTTTTTTTATCCTCACCCAAGGACATTTTTCACCCCGATATTTTGTTCAGATAGAGTGGGAGGGAGACAGAGAGAGAGAAACATCGACGTGAAAGGGACACATCGAGTGGTTGCTACCCTCACGACCCAACCAGGACCGGGGACAAACTGCAACCGAGGTACATGCCCTTAGCGAGAACCGAACTGGGGTCTCTCTGGGCCGCAGGCCGATGCTCTAACCACTAAGCCAAACCGGCCAGGGCTCCATTGATTTTTAAATAGAGGGGAAAGTCGGGGGGGGGGGGGAGAGAAACATCTATGTGAGAGAGACACATAGATTGGTTGCCTCCCACACAACCCCAACCAAGCCCTGGAATTGAACCTGCAACCCAGGTACATTCCCTTGACCAGGAATAAAACCTGCTACCCTTCTGTCTGAGAGTTGACACTCTAACTGCTGAGCCAAACTGGCCAGGGCTGTTTCTAATTTTTCACTTGTAAAGATAATGTAGTGATCAGACTTATTGAATGTATATCTTGGTCTATACTTCTGATTCTTTAATTATAACAGATTCCTAAGAGTGAAATCTTTGGGTCAAACTAAGTAGACATCTTTTTTTTATCTTTTTTTTTTTTAATGTGAAACACTTTATTTTTATTTTTTTTATTTTTTATTTCTTTTTTAGTTACAGATGTTTCTCCTTTTTTACCACAATGACACCCTCCTCGCCACCCCACCCATGCCCCGTCCCCAGCTTTGTTGTCCATGTCCATTGGCTATGCATACATGCATATAAGTTCTGTGGTTTATCTCTTCCCACCCCCCGACCCCGTCTTCTGAGGGATGTCAGTCTGGCCCTACTTCCATGTTTCTGGTTCTACCGTATTCCTCAGACTGTTATGTTCATTATATTCCGTATATAAGTGAGATCATGTGGTATTTGTCTTTTTCTGCTTGGCTTATTTCACTTAGGATAATAATTTCCAGGTCCCTCCATGTCGTCTCAAAGGATAAAAAAATCTTTCTTTCTTACAGCTGCATAGTACTCCATTGTGTATATGTACCACTGCTTTTTTATCCATTTGTCTGGATGGACACTTGGGCTGTTTCCAGATCTTAGCTATTGTAAATAGTGCTGCTATGAACATGGGGGTACATATATTCTTCCTGATTGGTGTTACAGGCTGCTTAGGGTATATTCCTAGAAGTGGAATCACTGGGTCAAATGGAAGTTCAATTTTTAATTTTTTGAGATAACACCATATTGTTTTCCATAGTGGCTGCACCAGTCTACATTCCCACCGGCAGTGTATTAGGGTCCCCTTTTCTCCACACCATCGCCAACACTTGTTGTTTGATGATTTGTTGATGGCAGCCATTCTGACAGGTGTGAGGTGATACCTCATTGTTGTTTTAATTTGCATCTCTCTGATGATTAGTGATGTTGAGCATTTCTTCATATGTCTCTTGGCCATTTGTATGTCCTGTTTGGAGAGGTGTCTATTCAGCTCCTCTGCCCATTTTTTAATTGGGTTCTTTGTCTTCCTTTTGTTGAGTTGTATGAGCACTCTATATATATTGGAAATTAACCCCTTATCTGATACATCATTGGCAATTATGTTCTCCCACACAGTGGGTTGCCTTTCCATTTTGATGGTTGTTTCTTTTGCTGTGCAGAAGCTTTTGAGTTTGATGTAGTCCCAGGTGTTCATTTTTTCCTTTGTTTCTGTTGCCTTAGGTGATGTATCAGTGAAAATTCTGCTCCGTATGATGTCCGAAATTTTGTTGCCTACATTTTCTTCTAGAATTTTTATGGATTCTCGGGTCACATTTAAGTCTTTTATCCATTTTGAGTTTATTTTTGTGTATGGTGTAAGTTGATGGTCTAGTTTCATTTTTTTGCATGTAGCTGTCCAATTTTCCCAACACCATTTATTAAAGAGGCTGTCTTTACTCCACTGTATGCTCTTGCCACCTTTGTCAAATATTAATTGAGCATATTGCCTTGGGTCCATTTCTGAGTTTTCAGTTCTGTTCCACTGGTCTATCTGCCTGTTCTTGTGCCAGTACCAGGCTGTTTTGATTACAGTCGCTTTGTAGTATAACCTGAAATCTGGTATTGTGATCCCACCAACTTTGTCCTTCTTTTTCAAAATGGCTGTGGCTATTCGGGGACTTTTTTGGTTCCATATGAACTTTTGAAGTATTTGTTCTAGTTCTGTGAAATATGTCATTGGTATTTTGATGGGGATTGCATTGAATCTATAGATTGCTTTGGGTAGTATGGACATTTTGATGATGTTAATTCTTCCAATCCATGAATAAGGTATGTGGTTCCACTTTTTTATGTCTTCCTCTATTTTTATTTTTATTTTTTCAATGTCCTATAGTTTTCTGCAAATAGGTCCTTTACTTCTTTGGTTAAGTTTATTCCTAGTTATCTTAATTCTTTTGCTGCAATGGTAAATGGGATTGTTTTTTCAGTTTCTCTTTCTGTGAGATCATCATTGGTGTATAAGAATGCCATCGATTTCTTGACATTAATTTTGTATCCTGCTACTTTTCCAAATTCATTGATTAAGTCTAGTAGATTTTTGATGGAGTCTTTAGGGTTTTCTATGTGTAATATCATGTCATCTGCAAATAATGACAGTTTCACTTCCTCTTTTCCAATTTGGATCCCTTTTATTTTTTCTTCATGTCCGATTGCTGTGGCTAAGACTTCTAGTACTATGTTAAATAAGAGTGGCGAAAGTGGGCATCCCTGTCTTGTTCCTGTTCCTAAGGGAAATGTTTTTAGTTTCTGCCCATTGAGTATGATGTTGGC